TAAACTTATATTTATAAACTTAGATGATTATATATAATTATATATTTATAAACTTATATATTTAAATTTATGCAATAAAATAATAAATTTTTTCATAAATGTGAAGAAGCATACAGCCACATATACAAGAAGTTTTTTGTCAAAGTCATATATTTTAAATTAAAAATGTAAATTTGGCTAAGTCTTGGTCATCATTAGTACAATAAATGCGAGATGTTAAATAATAGAACGCTAATTAAGATCGAAGTGAAGTTCATATCCGAAAATTATTCTGATTCTTCTATCTTTTTGACATATGAAATTAAATCTTATTTTTTGATTGCCGTATGTTAATCATGGGATTGCCAAATTCTGATAAACAAATTTATATAAGTTATTATATCTGTATGCTCCTTCCTATTTATGTTTTATGTTATTAAGTTACTTCTAATAACTATTGTTAAATAAATTTTTTACACATACAAATCTCCTTATCCATATTTTTTTCTGTTAGTTTTAAAGATAGGTTTTTTTTTTATATATTGATATGTTTTTATTATCAAGTAGCATATTAAAGCAAATAAACTATATATGTTAAAAATCATTTATTTTGATTCATTCTGTTAATTGTAACAAATTAAAATACATACATTTTCTTAGTTATTTTATACATTTTTTCACAGGGCATTAGTGGAAGAAATTAATGATATATCATCTTTGCAAATTAACCAAGATGCAAATCAAATAAAGACAATCTCAAATGTTGATAAACTAACTAAATCTGGTGATGTGAAATTGCGACGGCCTAATACGTTTAATGTGATGCAAGTTGAAAATTCGAATAATATGAGTGAAAATATCAATGAGCATGAAAATAATATAGAAGCTACTCATAAGTCTATCAGCAATATAAAGGATAAACACGTATCTACACCTCAACGTGTTAATAATATTAATGAATCTCAAACTAAAATGGCAGATCAACCTGTAGTAAATGCTACAAACACTAAAGAATTTTCTCAACAGCATCGATTGCGCGTACATAATAATACTAACGAGAATATTGATCAGTCAAAAAAAAATAATGGTTGTTCTCCAACATCTAGCTTTTGCCGAAATCAATATAGTCGTAATTATCAAAACGATTCAAAAAAGACTAGTCTTAAAGAAAAATATAATAATAGCAATGTAAGAGATAAAACTTACAATAATGATAGAAATGATTCTCAAAGGAATAGTTTCCAAAGTGACAAAGGCTCCGATTATAATGGCAGAGAAAATATCAATAGACATGGAAGTATTTCCAGTAATAGTTCGGTGAACAACGATTTAGCTTTTTACAAAGATACACAGTTGTCAAAAACAAAATTCATAACCGTGGAAATTATAATACCATTAGATAATAATGAGTATTGGATATATAAATTAGAGGATACAGATGCACGTACGAACTTAATGACGAAATTACAAGATATCGCAAGAAAATCACGTAATATGCAGCCAGTTATTGGTGAAGTTTATGGCGTTTTATATGAAACTGTTTGGCAAAGAGCTATGGTAACATCTCTGAATCCTACTAAGGTTCATTTTATTGACTTTGGTAACTACGAGATACTAGGAAAAAGTAGTGAGATCAGAGATATTGGTGACCTGATCAAATTTCCTAAGTTTGCTAGAAAAATTCGCTTGACGCAAGGCACAAGTGATAAATATAAAAATCTGCAGCGAGGCGAAAAGATTTCTGTTAGAATGTTGACTTTAAATTCTGAGAAAACAATAATAGTAGAAGTAGAAGAAGAGCAATCTATTTATTATGCAAAAAATTTATCTTCATCTACAGAAAGTACTTCAAACGGTACAAAGAAAAAGTTATTATCGCAAAAGAATTTTAAGGTATCACCAAATAAAAGTACAAATCCTTCCATGATTCAAATACCTAGCGTCTTAGATGCTTTGGCTGATTTGACACAAAATAGTTCAGAGTTGCATATTAACGGTTTTATACAATTTTTTGAATCCACGCAAAAGAACGTTTACAGCGTAACTTTGCTTCCACAAGTTTTCAGTACTGAAGTAACGATGATCTTTGAAGATATACAAGAAGAATGTTCAAAAATACAAATACCTGCAGATTACAAGTATGTATATGCATAAAATTTATAAGTATAAATTTTTTAACTTTTTAATTTTTGCTGAATATCATTAAGCATAAATTGGAATAAATAGGATATTTTATTTGTCTTTATTATTTATTGTGATCTTACAACAATTATTTACATTGTGATCTTATAACATTTTGTTTATTTCATGTATCTTTAACAAATATTTTCTTATATATGTTATACTTGTTATTGCGATAAAATATCACCAGAAGAGCCTTATTGGTCAAATTGATTAAGACACCTATCATGGAGAGATCCAAGTTGGTATCCTGACTGAAATATTTTTCATAATAAATTCATAGTTTTTTAAAATTCTAATTAACATCAAATTATTTATAGCTTTTCTATACTTGCTAACATCAGTCTTATCAAATTACTTTTAATTTAATTTGTGGTATTACTATCTCAGTTTGATTTAAGATTGTCTTTAAAGATTTCGGTGCGTAGTTGTAGAACTAAATATGTATATAAATTCACACCAAAATATTTCTACATTAAGAGACCGGCATTCATTCATAGTCCATTCTTATTTCAAGTCTTAATTAACGATGTTAATAAGAATTTTAGAGAGTTAATAAGATTTTACGATGTTAATAAGAATCTCTGATTGGCTTTTGACATTAGGATTGTACTTAAGATAATCTGATATAAGACTCTATGAATACCGGCCTAAGATCCAGTTCAAACTAATAATTCTTTTTCGTTACTTGAAGTATTTTATTTTTTAGGCCAAAAGCAGAAGAATTGGTTTGCGGTTACTGGCAGGAATGCTGGTACAGAGGATATATTTCGACGTATCCCGATTCCATTTTTGTAATAGACGAGGCAAGAATTCTTCAAGTAAATGAAATTGTACCATGTCCCAAAAAATATTTAAATATTTGTGCCTTTGGAGTAATGTGCGAAATAAATCATTCTACTGTCAAATTGGAAGTAGGTACCTTTGAAGTATTTTGTCTACTGATACAAGTTATAGATACAGTTACAGATACAGTTTTTTATTATGTTACAAGATGAACCATAATTACGAGTTTACATCAATTATAAATGAGAATAGCAACAAACAAAAAAGTATCGAAATACAAATATATGTAAACTCTGAAGCGATACAGGCTGTACTGAAGACTTCGAAACCGACAAATTTATCAAATTTTGAGTTAAAGAGTGGATCTAAGGTATAATATCACTTATTTACTACAACATAATATATGTAATAATTTAAAAAAAGTTTTTCAGAAAATAAATTCGAATATTTTAAATTATTAAATTTAAAATGCAATTAATAATGTAAAAATTAATTGTAGAATAAAAATATGTACATGTTTTTCTTCTACATGTTTTTTTTAAATGTTCCTGTCCCCTTTTTTATAAATAATGTACAATATAAAAGTGATTTTTTTATTGTAATTTTTTAATTTTTTAATTTTGTTTTTAATTATGTTGTAGCAAATAAACGATATCAATATATTTATTGCTTTATTATGGTTGAAGTTTTATTGTTTCTGTTGACTGATTTTAGATATGTCTTACAAGTTATCGAAATCATTATTGTATGTTTGCACGCTCTTTAGAAGAAGTGGATGTAGAATATTATAATAATGTTATGCAATCTGTTGCTCAATATGCACAAACAGGTAAAATCAGTGAATAATATAATTAGATAAATTGACAATTATATAAAGAATTAAAATTATTTTGTTCACTTGCAGCACCATACCTAACCGAATCTCCACCTGATAAAGAAGTAGTGATTGCGCCATTCGAAGGAGATGGTAACAGTTATCGTGCAATGGTACTTAAGACACAGAATAATAAAGCTCAAATAGTATATATTGATTTCGGTAATCTAACTGAAATTGATATAAAAGATCTTAAAGTCATGCCATATCATTCACAGGTACTGATGTGCATATTAAGACAATAAAAAAAACATTTCAATTTATAAAACTGAAATATATTTGCAAAAAATTTGTATTTAGTATTATTAAAATCCACTTTGACCAAAAATAGGATTATTTAATTTCAATTTCAATTTTAATTTATTTGTGCATTAATTACAAAATAAATAAATAATATAGCAATTAGAGTTTGACGGGAAAAATTAAGAGTATAAGTGCACAAAATGGTAAGGCATCAGCAAAATCTGCTGCTCTAACGCTTATCAGAAAAGAGAGTAGAAAATTAACATTTGTAAAAACGCAAAAGCGAAACATAAAACATAAAATTAACAATACAAGTTGCATTAAAGAATATAAAACGCAACATAACATAATGTAACATAGATTTAAGATATAATATGAAAATTGATTATTTCTATTAATTAAAAAAAAATGTTATTTTGAATATCAAAGTCTGCTTGTTATAGCAACAAAGCTGTGCGGTAAAAGTAATCTTAAAAGATGTACCTCGTGACGTACCCATGAACCAAGAAGTTGACATGTATCTTCGCCATATATCAGGCACAGAAGTGCCTTTAATATGTACATTCGAGGGTTTATCCAAGGATGGAGTTCGTTTGATGATTGCTGATACAGGAGAATGTGTTAATGATAAAATAAATCAGCTGTTAATCCCAGGGTGGAAACAAGCAAATAATAATGGTAATTAATCATAAATTATAATATTTTTAGAAAATAATGTAATATTTGTTTCTCATCACAATTTATACAAGAATTTCAATACATTATGTTGCTATTTAATTATCTTTCAATAGTAATTCCCTTAATATAAGAAAGCCTTAAAAATTTTAACATGCAAGATAATTTTTATTTAATAAAAAATTCGACAATGTATTACATTTTTCTTTGTACTTCAAGTACATCGATCTTTTTTTTTTTATTGAGAGTACAAATTAGTTCGGTCCGTTTCCCTAAAGATGGCTCCAGCTGTTGTGAATAGTTCATAGTGACAGCTGATTTTGGCGGTTCATCTGCTAATAAATATTCAGTTTATATCGCTTTCAGTTTCATACAAAAACTTTGATTTTTACTGTGTTTGAAATGTCGAATTTTGTGTTAACCAAGCAGCATTTGCGGGAGGTTTTGATTTTCTGCTTTAATTGGAAGAAAAGTGCGGCTGAAGCCCATCGAATACTTGTCGAAATTTATGGTGACACTGTTCCAATGATAAATCATGTAGGGAATGGTTTCGATGCTTCAAGGAGATTTCAGCATTGAAGACAAGCCTCGCTCTGGACAGCCAAAAAAATTCGAAGACAAAGAATTAGAGGCATTACTCGAAGAAGATCAGAGTCAAACGCAAGAGGAGCTTGCAGAATCATTGGAGGTAACTCGACAAGCTGTTTCTGTACGATTGAGAGCCATAGGAATGATTCAAAAACAAGGAAATTAGGTGCCTTATGAACCAAGAGATGTTGAAAGACGATTTTTCACTTGCGAACAGCTGATTCAAAGACAACAGAGAAAAGGTTTTTTGCATCGGATTGTAACTGGAGATGAGAAGTGGATATTCTACGACAACTCTAAGAAGAAAAAATACTATGCTAAGCCCGGTCAATCGTTGCCATCGACCTCAACATCAACACTATGGCCGAACATTCTCGGTTCGAAGATCATGCTCTGTATCTGGTGGAACCAAAAGGATCTTGTTTACTATGCGCTACTGAAATCTGACGATTCCATTACAAGCGATCGGTATCGACTATAATTGATTCATTTGAGCCGTGCGTTGCGAGAAAAACGGCCGGAATACGAGCAAAGACACGATAAAGTTATTCTTTTTCATGACAACGCTCGGCCTCATGTCGCTAAAGTCGTAAAAAAATATTTGGAAACGCTCAAATGAGATGTTTTACCGCACCCGCCGTATTCTCCGGACATTGCTCCTTCTGATTACTGGTTGTTTCGAAGGATGCAGCAAGTCACCAGTTCACTTCTTTCGCAGAAATCAAAAATTGGCTCCAAAATTGGATTGCCTCCAAAGACGAGTCATTTTTTCGAGATGGAATTCGAAAATTGCCTGAGAGATGGGAAAAAGTAGTAGGCAGCGATGGACAATACTTGATCTGTTCATTCATTTTGTTTCGAAATAAATGCATTTTTGAACGGACCGAACTAATTTGTACTCTCAATATATTTATTGTCATATATTCATAATATATGTATATTTTATGTTTTATAAGGAATTGTAAATTTAGAATTTTTTACAGATAACACATGCTACATGTTCAATGACATCAAAGTAGCAAGTTTAGGACGTGTGGGTGATACAGTAAATGCACTGGTAGTATATGCAGCGAAAGAAGACATAACATCATACATGATTGGTCCTGAGGATTTTGAATTAATGACTCATATCTTCGAAGTGATGCCAGCATTGGTAAATGATTTTTTATTACAAAGTATTTATTATCACACAATAATGTATAATTATTCTTATTTTATTGTAGTTGAAAGAGTATTGTGAAAAAATGGAGTATTATATTCCAAGAACGCAAGAATTATGTTTGGCATTATATGATGGGATTTGGTATCGAGCAGTCTGTCTCAATCCTAAGGAATCGCATAGGGCAGCTCAAATTTTTTTTATTGATTATGGGAATGTAGAGTTAGTAGAGCATAAGGATATAAGATTAATGCCCAAAGACTACATTTTACCTCAAGCATTTGCGAATATGTGTAATCTTGTCAGTGAGTATCAAAATTGTTAATAAAAGTGGAATTATGTTATTCGATTTCTTGAATGACAAGCATGCATGTAGACATGTCTATCTTGATATATGCTACAATTCATTCATGTATTAAGTGCTGCATACTGATATACATTGCATATTAATAATATTTTTTAATAATATTTTTGCGTAAATTTTTTTATAATTCCTAATTAATAAAGAACTTTTATAAGCTTTCGAGCTTCGCGTCAATTACTTTATAGCTTATTTTTTTGTATGCACAATCAAAAGAAATAATTGCTGAAGAAATTTCAAGTTATTTATCAAACGTCAGACTATATACATTAAAGTAAGCATAACAACATGCATGTATGCACACGTGCATGCATGCTTATCATTTAAGAAATTGAACATCATTCCATCTTGAAGATAATTCTTCTATTCAAACTTATCTATTGTTTGTGTTACAGATTTAGCACCAGTGGATCGTAATGGACAATATTCGAAAGTGGTACAGAAGAAATTAAAGGAATTAATAATGGAAAATTCATTCATCAAAATTAAAATTGTCGAGTACTCTGAAGATGGTTGTTATAAAATCGAAGTACCAGAAGTTCGTGCTATGTTAATTAAACACGGTCTCGTGTAAAAATTTTAATTTACGTATCTCATAAATTATGTGATCTTGTATAGAATTAAGATAATTTTTGATCTTAAGGATTTGACTGCATTGCCATTTATATATTTTAAACAGTGGGCATAATTACGTATTTGATTATTATTTTTAACTTACATAACTTTTTATTTGATGTTTCAGTCTACTGTTATCATATTTTGTTTTTCGAGGACCAGTTTTATTTCTATGTTTATATTTGCGAAGACGCTTTTTTGCTATGAATATTTAAGTTTAAAATTATCTTTTATAAGAAGAGACTGTATTTTTCGTAATAAAAAAATAATCGAAGATATCAGTCTCTCATAATATTATTTTTTCCTATATATTTATTAATGATTTTTAAATTATTTTTTCTTGAGTATTTATGTATTTTATTAAAAAATTATATCTCATTATCACATATCATAATATTATAAATATCATAATATAATATAATATTATAAATAATAATATATATTATATATATTATTTTTTATGTATATAATGTAACAAATAATATAACATCATTGGGCGAGTTCTAGCCGGCAAAGTGGCTAGATGTGCTTGCCGAGCGAATATAAATGATTAAGTTCAAGACATCAAAGGCATGCTTATCAAGTGATTAGTTGGATCTATAAGTAACAATTAATTATATTCATTTACTTGACGAACAGACTAGCCACTTTGTCAACTTGAACACGCTTATTGATCTTTACCTGTGGATCCAACCAATCATTTTTAATTGCTCGATGGAGATAGATATGTTACCTAGTACCCTAGTATCTACTTATCTAATTGTTTCGTATAAATAAAAAAAATTTTTTTAAATATTGGATTATTCATAAGATCGAAGTATCGAGCTGGTCACGAGTGAAACGATAGAATATGTAAATTGCTGCGTAGTCATGGTGTCTTCTTCCATGGTTTCACCATACACAGCGTGACAATGGATTGCATTAGATAGACGGAATCTTATAGATGGAATCTTAACCTTTTTCTTTTTTTTTTTTACGATAACCTAACCTTACCTCTCTCTAAATATCGGCTGACCGACCACTGATCGCTTTAACTCAAATGACATATCTCGTGCGAGAGAGTCCTGCTGTTCATCAAGTAAAAGGCTTCCAATTAAAAAGCAAGATAAACAATGAATGTGCAAACGAGACATCCTTACGAAGGTTTGCTACACAAATATACGAATGCCATGAAGGGCTGGCAATACCGTTGGTTTATTTTGAGTCCAGAGACCGGCGAGTTGCATTACTTTCTCAGCGAGTCTGAGAAGAATCAAAGGCCACGGTGTTCGATTTATCTAGCAGGAGCTGTAATAGCCCCCAGTGATGAAGATTCTAACACATTCACCGTCAATTCCGCTACTGGTATATATCTGATTAAATCAAATCATTACTGATTGTTTTTCTTATAATAAATATGGATATTTGATTTAATCTGACTATTAAGTTTTCAATATTTTTTCAGGTGACATGATCAAACTACGAGCCACAGATGCACGAGCACGCCAGGAATGGGTAGACAAATTACGAGCAGTCACAGAAATGTATACTAGGGCGATAGCCAGCAGCCATCCTCCATTGCCACCACGAGAACATTCTGGAAATTCGAGTAGGAATCCTGTCGTTAAGCTGGAAGTATTGGATGCCTTTGCCAATTGCCAAGAACAATTGAGAAAGGTGGAGAAGCACAATCTTGCCCTAGCACAATCTATTGAAAACTCGGATTTACATCTGGACTCTGATCTCTTAGTTCTCAAAGCTATGGCGCATACCACTTTGCATACACTGAGCCAATGTCTTAACATATTATATCAGTAGGAAGTTAATCATCTATTTTTATGCTTGTCAATATTAAGATTTTTATACCTGCGAATATGTAAGATTATCTTCTCCGTCATGCAACATATTATTTTATTATCTATATTATTTTATTTTAAGCAATTATGTACTTATCTATAATTAGAGCTGGTTTTAGATGTAAACAATTAAAAATGAGATTGATATCTCTTGCTATTATATCTATTTTTTAATAATTGATTATTATAAATAATTGATTTTAAATAATTAGTTAATTTTTATAAAACAAGGTTGTTTTTTATGTATTGTAAATGGAATGTTAATGATTAGTAGGCCTTTATACTATTTTCATTTGATCATAAAAGAATTTTTTTAATTTGTCCCATTGAAAATAAAAACCAAAGGTACATCGTCTCATTGGATTTTAATAGTAGATTCTTTGAATGTTAAGTTGATCATATTACATTATGTAATACGGGAATTTTTTTCACTTATTGAATATTTTTTATGTTAAAATTTTTCTATTTGATCTTCCTACAATCACGTCATGATTTATATAAAAATACATTTTTCTTTACAACGCATATAAAATCAATTTCCATTTTGTTTGCTATTTTAATCTAGGCCTGTTAATGACCATCTCGGTGTATGTTCTTCCAATGTAACAATACCATATAATCGAGAGATTATACATAAGATACATATTACGTATTAAAATATTATGTACAAAGCATTATGTTTTTTTATGTCACAGTTAAAGTGTTAATTTTAGTAAATGTATATCTTAACTACAATAGACTATAGTAAGAAGTGTATACATTTAGGACACCGGTTGTTCTACCTTTTGATAAATTTTATCTGTGAGATAAATCTGTTAATCCACATGTGATTGGGTAATCTTGCTACTTACCCAACAGATAAAATTTACCAAAAGCTGGAACCTGTCCTTATTGAATTAACGCTTTAGCTGTAACACTCAATATATACGTGTATGTATATATAT